ATTTAATAAAATTATATATGAATATTTATAAGTAAAGTTATTTAAATTTTTAATTGATGTGTACAATTTATAACTATTATGTGATTATAGAACAACATCAAACATTTTCGTCATAATAAAAAAAGAATTTAAGATTGATTCTATGTGTGATTTAAATTTCGATTAAGATATCAGTTAAATTTGAATTACTGTCTTGTCCGATCTGAAATTGATACTTAAAAGTGGCGAGTTTTCAAAAATTCTAATATTTTAATTGTAATTTTAATATTTTAACTGGTTACAATATTTGAATTGTTCCCATATATGATTTAAATTATTTCTATGTATGATTTCAATTTTTTGAAACTGTTTCTATGTATTATTTTAATTTCAGTCAAGGTAACGGTTAAAAAGGCAGATAGTCAAATCTTAGGTTCTCTGAGACATGTTGTTGATGACAGTTTTAGATAATCAGTAAATTATAAAATTGTTTCTATTAAAGGTTTTTTCAGGGTAAAGTTTTTTATTTTCTTTTAGACCCTTTACTTTTCTAGAGTTTCTAAAGTAACCCTTGTCATTCGTTTTCCTATGATTTAGTCCTTCTGTTGCTAGATTTTTTATTTGTTTAGGATGAGTTCTTTATGTAATACTTGAATGTGAGACTATGAGATATGATTTTCAAAAGAGACATGAAAATATAACAAAAAGATTAGTTTGAAAGACAGTCATCAAATTCGATACAAGAACAAAACTGATAAACCCACAAAGAAAAACTGACTAAAAAGATAGAAAGACAGCATCTTGTTACAGCTAGCCAATCAATGCAGCTAATTTGCTTTATTTTAAACCTTCCAATGACCCATCAACATTGGATAACATAATTACCATTTACATCCACCAACTCTAAGGTTGTGGCAGTGTTGTGACCTCGCTACTGGTTGGTTGTGTCAGTGACAATCTAATTGGCTTCTTCTTCACATACTTCCGCGCCCATACATGTTTGCCGTTGATATTGTACTTGGATTTTCCTTCAGGACCATCTCTCCCAACAATGGTATTTACCATCGAGGGCGAGCAAGCAACAATTCGAGCATACAAGGGTTGTTCTTCTGGTCCTACATCGTGCATGTGAATCGCCTCGATGAAATCCCCAAAGTTTCTAATCAAATAAAAAAAATGGGTTAATGAACATATATAATACACAAATTCACAATTCTTAAATTAATATATTTCTTAAAATCATTTGTTATAGACATATATACCTAGTGAAGTAGTCTCTGACTTCACTTTCAGAAATGGGATACCCTTTTGAAAAGGTAAGAAATACGGTTCGATCATCCGCAGGTATTTCATGATCTAGATCTCTTATGGTCAATGGAGAATTAAGGCATAAATCTTTATGTTGCCCAAAATCCAACATCGGAGTTAGCAAAGCACCATTTGCTCTTTCGAAAGCAACCATTGGCCAATCTTGGTGTGTCGCAAACCCTAATTCAGGGCGAAATCCAAGATAGCTGTTAATCTCATAAGTAGGATTAGGAACAAGATGGCCCAAGTATCGAGATCCTCCAGTAATAACCTCCTTCGGGGGAACCATAGTAGATCGCGTGCCATACCTGATAAATTGCTGCAAAATGTCTTTCAATGCCTTACCATAAACATCGTTTGCTATTTGAGACACCTCTCTGAAAATCCAATTTTGATTTTCTTGTAACTCCTTTAGACAGATCCTCTTGCGATCCAAAAGATTGTTAAGCAATGAAATATCATATTTCACGCTTCCCTCAAGTATGAATTTATTTCCTTTTTTCTCTATGCACTTTAAACAAGTCACCACCTCATCAGCGATTATAGAAATGGTGCTCAAGGACAAAGAATCAACCATCGTTCGAACAAGATTCTTAGAGGTATACCCTTCTCTCTCTAACCATATAAAGAAACCCAACACGAGTGTTGACTCGACAATATCTCGATGTAGAAATACAAGCAAGTAAGTGAATAGTCGACGCTCGTGTTGGTAAAAGAGATTGTAATCTTCCTTGGAGATATTTGGGCATTCTATCGTCAGCGGAAAAAGGGAAGGCTGTTTTGGTGAAGCAAAGATATCAACTTTCTTACTCATTTTACTTGATGTTGGTACCTGTTTTTCTATGGTTTACCTTGTGAAATCCAATGAGACACAAGTTATGTATATATACTACACCAACATTGATAGTGTAACGTTATGTTCGCTGAAAGACAAAAATACCCTTCTGAAGAGGCGCCATCGATGAAAGTTTTGAATAAACAAACTTTTTTAAATCGTTTTGATATACAATTTCTTTTTCAGTCAAAGTAATGGTTAATTTGAAATTTTCCGAAAAGGCGCCATTGATGAATTTTTTGAATAAATAACAAATTTGAAATTTTTTCTATTCAATTTTTTTCAGTCAAATAACGGTTACAATGTTTGATCTCTCTGAAACTCGCTACTTATCAGCGTTTCCAAAATACCCCTCTATTATACTTTTTCATACAATTTGATCCTCCAGCTTTTTAGGTTTCATTTATCTAGGAATTATCTTTAATTACAAACTGCTTATGATGTAATATTAATCCCTTCACATTGGTTTGTTTCTTTCTTTCATCACTGATGTATTCCTTGTTGTAACTGATCAGTACTGTTGTTAGGAATGACAAGAACGCATGTGAACGGGAACGTCGTTTTCATACATCCATCCCATTGTCACTTCTAAAACTTTCTACCTCGTGTGTTTATCCTCGATTATCTCTCCACACATTAGTCCCAGTTGACATACATTTGACTAGCTAGACTTCAGTACCATTTCCATCCATACATTTGTCCTCGTTAAGTTTGCTCGCGTAGATAGGATCAGACAGAACTTCGAACATCCACAGTGTTTTTGCCGGTATAAAAAAGATCCCACATTTTATATCTAGTTAGGTATAATTTGACAGAGGGTGGTAAATTGTTCAAAAACTATTTATGGAGGGCTACTATGGAATTTACATACAATAATAAATAATAATCCCTTTGGTGGATCAAATTTCATCCAATAAAGATTTTCCATAAATGGCAATTTATCTTTACAACCCAATAAAATGGTAAGTTTTAAGAGTAAATGGTAAAAATTAAATAAATATACTTTTACTCCATTCATATTTTGATACATGTATTTTTTTTATAAAGCATATTTAAAGCTCAAAGTTTAAAAAGCTGTGTCCGAAATCTGATTCAAATCCAAGATAACAGTATAACACCCATAAGTATATAAAAAATGTGAAAGTCGAAATTTAGCTGGGAGGCGAAGATACAGTTAAATGGTGTATGAAAGATTGAAAAATATGTGTTTTTTTTTCTATAAAATTCAACGAATTTTAGGTGGATCTGATATGATTCAATTATCTATTAGACGTTGGATTTGCCATTCGGTATAATCCAATATATTAGACATCAGATCTTATTCAATAATCCAAAATTGGTTTGGATCACATCGGTTCCTTCAATTAGACGTTGTTATTGGTTATTTATTGGATCGGATCGGATCGGATCCATACCATATTTTGAGTCAAATTTCAGCCAATTAATCCACCGTTTTCAAGCAATATACAAAATTTCCTAAATTGTTCAGACATATAATAGCAAAAACGAGGTAAAAGTATACTTTACACGATTAATAGTAATTTATTATAACCAAAATACGACTTTAATAATATTTCGAGTGCATTTGATACGTATGGGATTGAATAAGACAAGACAAACTTAAGGTACGATCGACGTACAATTTACAGAAAACGGGAAGATAAAAAAATAGGCATGACATGATACAAGAATAAGGTGGGATAAAAACTCAATTTCATGGGACATAAAATATGGAATTTTAAACCTTCCACAAAATCAATGTGAAATTAGGGGAATAATCTAACCCCCTCCCTCTAAAAAAATACGAGGAAATAATTATAAAGGTGGTGTTTGATTGGTTTGAGCTTGGCTTTAAAGGTCAAAAGTACAAGGAGGTCCCAGGATCAAATCCAATGAGGAATAAAAATCCCCTTGTGGCCACAGAGGTTCAAATGCGGTGACTCCGGTCTATCTGCAAAGCAGATGGTTGTTCTGGAATTAATCGGCTCGTATAGCGGGTTGGATATCCAGGTTAATAAAAAAAAACGAGGAAACAGATGAAAATATGTATTAATATGAATGTCAAATTAAACATTATTTAATGATTTTTTTTATGTAATTTGTTTCGTTTCAATTTTCCTTATATTTCGCTAATTTTCAATTAAAAAGAAGGAAGATAATTTTATTTTGAGTAGACTATGATTTTCGTCCCTGTGATTTGAGAAAGACTGCGATCTTCATCCCTGTGGTTTTGATATTGTCATTTTCATCCCTATGGTGCGTAATTTATTATTGTTTTCGTTCCAAGAACTAAATATGTTAAAACATCTCTCGATTAGTTTAGGAGTATTTTAGTTTTTTATTTATTTATTAAATATATTTTTTGGTTTCTTTTTTGGTATTTTTGTTTTTATTTATTTAATAAAACCATATATTTTTGGGAAAATTGCACCAAAATGAAATCAAGTTTGACTTGATTTCTGTTTTAGGAAACCTACTTTCAAAATCATTATTTAGAGGTGTAAAACAAAGTTTTTGTTTATTTAAGCGTCTGCTTAACCTGTTGACCTACTAAAAATGATGTGGCTGCATTATCTGTCAACTAAGCTTCCATGTCATGATTAAGTTTATATAAATAATTCTAAAATATTATATCGGACCAATCTATTATGAAATGCCGTATTCAAAGACAACCATGTCATAGGGGCAAATGAATAGTCTAACACCCCCAAACTATGACCTCCTTTCGTCCCTGACTACAACTGCAACTTCGACAACCCCAAACTGTTACCACCATCACCTAAAACTTTGGCCACCTTCACCTGCAAACTCCAGTGTCCTTCAAACCGTGACCACCTTCACCAGCCCTTGTCGTTGCCGATCTCCACCATCCCACCGAGGCACCGCCAATCTTCTTTCCTTGTCTCCAATTTCCGTCATCCCACCACCATTATTATTTCTTCTCCGTTGATAATCACCATATCTCTTCTTCCCACTGTAATTTGAGATCTTAGTTTGTAATTTGTCTTTTAAGTAATTGATGATATGACATCACAAATACCCACTTAATACTTTTTTAATTTATAATTATGTCACCTCATATTACAGTAACTGGTCACCTACTTAACTGGTAAACAAAGCCCTTAAATAAACACGAACTTTCTTTCGGACCCTTAAATGATGGTTTTAAAAGTTGGTTCCTTAAAACAGAAATGAAGTCAAAGTTAGTTCCATTTAAATATAATTTCTCTATATATTTTCTCTAATATAGTTAATTGTTTGGTCCTATAAAATATTTAACCGTTTAATCCCTGATGAAGAAAAAAGAACTAAAATATTATCATGTGATATATACTTCACCATTTGCACTTGAATGACGTTAGTGACAAAAATCAAACCTGTAACAAACTGAAATTATGAAAACCAAAAATATAGAACAACTAATTGTATGAAAAATTACTTCATCATAAATAATAATAAAACAATATAAATTTTTTATGTATTAATTCTTTTATCAAAAAACATATAGCTTGATTAAATCAAAAAGACTAAAATACCAAATAAAAAACCAAAAAGATATTTAATAAACCAGAGAAAAAAAAAGCAAAAATACTAAAATACCCCTAAGTTAGATGGAGAATTTTAAATAGATTTAGTTTAAGGAACGAAAACAACAATAAATTACAAACTATGGGGACGAAAATAACAATAAATTACAAATCACATGAACGAAAATCAAAATATTCAAAACCAGAGGGATGGAAATCACAATCTTTCACAAACCACGACGACGAAAATCATAATTTACTCTTTTTTTTAAGGGTGATTATAACCATTTTTTTAATTATATGCACCGGATCATCTGGGTTATTGTTCTTGTTTTAAGAATTTTTTCCAGATCTTTCCTACATATATATAATCAGATCAAATCAAATCAAATCAGATCAGATATAAGATATGTAGTATAATATAAATGTAAATATTATATTTATAATATTTTAACCGAAAAGGAAATACAATTCACTCTAAATTTTAGAAATAAAAGTATTTATTTATTTGGTTGATTTATATCATATATAATTATTATATGATACAAAAGATATTAAACAATATTTTAATAATTTTATCCAGTCTTGTTTTAATCGTACCAAACACATGATATATAATTAGTCTTATCCAATCCTACCACATACAAATTGCATATCAAATGCTATCTTGTTGTCTTATATTTGGTGGGGCATTAGGCTGGACAGAACGAAGTAAGAGGGACAAAAATACTATCTTTTAACCAACAAAAAATGGATAATTTACGAAACAGGACGACCATCTGCTTTGCAGATAGCCCGGAGTCACCACATTTGAACCTCTGTGGCCACAAAGGAATTATTATTACATTTTTTGATTAACCAAGTCACAACTTTACCATATTTAATTTCTTCAACTTCATAATTCTTAAATATTTATATAATAATTAAGTATATAATTGAGAATTCAATTATCTATTTTTAAAACCGGACACTTATTGTGCGACGGATGGAGTATTTATGTATTATATAAATAGGCAAAAGATTGTGTGAGAAAGAGAGTTAAACTGTGAAGCGTAAGAAATGATCTGGACCCTTGATCACCTTTAATCTCAAACTCACTCGTAAATCATGTTTGATACGAGGATTGATCTGGTGCATCTTGATGCATCTCATCTCGGTGTATTCATCTTAATGTGCATCCAATGGTCCAGATCCCTTATTACTATTCTTACTTTAACTCTTCTTCTTACCGAAACTCAATATATCTATACTATCTTCTTAAGCAAATTTAACAAAAGTCTTAAAATTCTAAATGATCAAGATACCCTTTATACTACCCTTAAGTCACTTTTTCACCCCTCCTCTCCTTTTTTTTTAATTATAATTTTAAATTTACACTTTATATCCCTATAATTAGTTAATTAAGTCAAAGACCTTCCAGCCTAGTGGTAAAGGCTTGGGCATG